CCACTTGTGCTTGGTTTGTCAAAACTTGAGGGTTTGTTTATTGGTTCAGCTACGTATAATCCTTTAACTCTCCAAGAAGTCTTCTCAGATAAGCCTACAGTTTCGTCTGCATTATCAATAAGAGCATACCAGAAGAAATCTTCACACCCTTCTGCATTGTCTTTTTCCACCAAGACTCTTAGTTATGTTGTTTGTCTAGAAGTGACTCCTTTAGCTGCATATACCTGATTCGGCACAGTTTGAACCTTTTGATAAACCACAGCCTTTTCTTTGAGCTTCTTTTCCTTATCCTTTTCTAGACGAGCAAATTCCACTGAATTTTCTGATATTTGTGGTTTCTCATTCTCAGTTTCGCTCTTCATAAACTCAGATCAATCAACTACGTCTTCTACAGATATCTCACTCATCTCACTTTCTTCATCAAATTCAGACGTATGTTCTAAGTCTAATTTATTTTCAGAAGCTAGTTTGGCATTGGATTGGTCAAATGAGTGAATAGTGTCTGACCTAATTTTCAACTTATCATTTTCATCTAAGATGTCTTTTAATATACATTTGTGTAACTTTGAATAAATGAAGGTTTCTATTTTATCCAGTCCAACTTTGTATGACATGGACATCTCTTCTCATGAAACTTCTGATTCACATTCTGCTATTACCTCGTCTTCCTTAAATTCAAGGAATGGCAAAATCATCTTATAAATTTTCTTTCCTATCTCACAACTTAAATGCAATTAAGCTATATTAGTAAATAAACGCTTAGCAATTAAACAAAAAACATTTCTCTATTTTAAAAACTTTAAATTTTCTTTTTGCAAATAAAAACTTTCATCCCTGGCTCTAATTAACTCCACTTCCTTTAACTCAGTCCACATCCTTCTCTCCTCACTCTTCGAAGACACCCTACTGAGTTGGTCAGTTAGGTTAGAATTCGCTAAGCGAGTTTGCATGAGACTACCACTTAAGTTAGTGAATTTAAATTTTAATTCATTTAATTCTTCTTCATAATTGGTTAATGGAACTTTAAATGATTAAAGGATGGATTGTACCTTTTTGATCAAACGATCGCAGTCGTTGATCTGCTCACTGACGGGCTTTATTGCAAAACATTTGTTTTCAGTCAAGTTTGGTTCTTCATCTGCACATTCGGTTGATGATCCAGTGGGGACCATTAAGCACTTCCCAGCCGAACCTACTTCCTTTGCTACATAAGCCTTTCCATGAGAGGGCTTTCTCACCTCTTCATCTTCAGAGTCGGTTGACCAAACTTCCACACCACCGAACTCATCTTCATCGGCATTTTCCTGGACAATTAAAGCATTCATAGTACCTTTTGCAACGTTAGATGTCTTCTTGTTCTTGATCTCTTCCAGCTTGCGCATGTAGTACGCCTCATCATTTTCACCATCTCTTTTCTCAGCCATTTTTCTCAACATGCAATCCTTGGCAAAGTGGTTCTTGCCATGATAGTAATTGTAGTCGTATCCAGAGTCTCCTGCAAGTTTGCTCTCCCTCTTGTCTTCATCCTTTTGAGAAGAGATCTTTGCTTCATCCTTTAGCTTTATAGAGCTGTAACTTCTCTGCCACTTTCGGTTCTTTCTGATCGGAAATTTTCTTCTTGCAAACTTCTTTGGATTAGTGACCATCATAGCATACTCCTCACTTGTAAGGTCACACTCAGATAACTCCGACTCTTCTTCATCTTCTGCAATACCTTTTGCTTTTGAGACAATAGCCAATGATCCTACACTAGAAACCACTTTTGCTTCTTTGGTTACGACACTTTCATGGGACTTAAGTATTCCCACAAGTTTCGCTAGCGAGTAAGACTTAAACTGTTCATGTGCTTTTACAGTAGAAACCATAGCCATCCATTCTGGTCTGAGTCCGTTCATGAACGTTACCTTTTTATCAATCAACTTCCTCTCTATTCCATGCTTTATCATCTTACTTAAGAGATGACTGAACCGATCAAAGGTCTATATCAGCTTCTCTTCAAGTTTCTGTTCGAAAACTCCAAATTCTGACAGCAACAAGGTTTGAATGGAGTGTCCTAGATCTTCATTAGTCGAATATAGCTCCTTCAACATATCCTAGATTTCTTTAGCCATCGTGCATGAACCGACCAATCGAAAAGTGTCAGATTGCAAGGCGAATCTTATCATTCTCATTGCCTTCACATTACACAGCAGCTTGTCTTTTTCATCTTGTGGCATCTTCTGTTCATCAGCAACAAACTTGTTATATTCCTTTTGCATCTTGACGGTTGTGTTTGTTCCTGAATGAGCAAACGACCCAAGTGTGATAGCTTCCCAGATGAGATAGCCGTTTTCTTCAGATCCAACCACATAATCTTCGAAGTGATGTACCCATACTTCGTAGTCTTGAGTGTAGAGAATGGGTATCCTGGTTGTAAATCCAATGCTGTTTGAGATGTTGATCGGATTTGTTTGCGAATCTTCGTGAAATATGGTGAGCTTTTAGAATCAAACCTGTAAACTTGAGATTAGGGTTTTATCTAAAACAAAGTTGTCGTCAAAACAAAAAAGACGACTTGTTATTTATACGATAAAAGCGGAAACCCTAAGGAATTCAGAATACAAAAGGAATGTGTATTGATCACACAGTCTCATGCTCTGATACCAATTGTTAGAACGTAGTTCTTTCGGGATCGATTGATTCTAAGCATGCACACAAATAAGTACGTAAATATAAACACGAATATGGCTTGAATACGTTGAATGATTAATGCTTCAACACCTCAGAAGAGCTCAATTAAGAACTTCAACTGTAGAGGTGTTTTAGGGTTACAAAACTCAAGCGTAATTAAACAGACGTCTAACAATAATGCATACATGCATGCATATATATAGCCTAACCCTACCAGATAATCATGGATGGATATGCCCAATCCGGATATATACAAAAATCCGTAAGACGCAACATAATAAGCCCCAACATTATGGTTAAGGACGTTGTTAGGATCCTAGATCTATGTTTTGGTCGTTGGGACTTAATGGATTAAGTCAACAAAAGGATTTTAGGGTGACTGGTAGGAATGTTGAGCGTAACCCCTAGTACGCTGTGCATTCTGGGTCAGCTTCCCGCTTCTGGTAAACACCAGCATACGTCGGGCGTACATGTCGGGTACATCGCGTGTACGCATGTAGAGTGATTAACGCGGTTTTGGTCCTTTGTAGATTGGGCTTGAATTTGTTAGGCCTCATGGCCCAATGTGGAGTAAGGCTTTTGGGCCTAGGACTGAGATTTATGGTATTGGGCCTTATTGGGCTTTAAAGCATAAAGGGATGGACTTTGGCCTTAAATTGATTATGGATTGGACCTTAGGGGAAAAGGCCCATTAGGGCAAGGACTAGGGGACCTTGCCTTGGGACATGAATTACAAGTTGGACCATAAGGGAGTCGTACTTGGACCTAATAACTAACTAAGGGACTTATTATCCTTTAGGGAGAGGAGTCCTGAGCCATCCGAGGAGCACGATTTCGGCACGCGCAGTTGAGGTGAGTTACCTTCCTGGTATAAGTGGGTCGAAGGAACCGATGCCCGCCCACTAGTAGTTGTTTACAGTAAAGATGATTGTTTTTGTGATAATTATCCGGTATGATACTATCTGTTGAGATTTATGTGCATGTATGTTATGTTATTATTTGGTAATGGTAAGGGTGAATTAGACCCCGTAACCGGTCGAAAGAGACCGAAGGGGTAGGCTATCACCCAGATATTCTAGGCTGTATATGATTTATATACTTATATGCTAGGATATTATGTGGTAGTGGTAGGGTGAAATAGACCCCGTAACCGGTTGAAAGATACCAAAGGGGTAGGCCAACACCCAGATATTCTAGGCAGTTACCGGCTGAAAGAGACCGAATGGATAGGCCAGCACTTGGATATATTAGGCAGTTACCTATTGAAAGAAACCGAAGCGGTAGGCCAACAGCCAGATATGCTAGGAAGTTACCGGTTGAAAGAGACCAAGAGGTAGGCCAACACCATGATATGCTAGGCAGTTACCGGCTGAAAAAGACCGAAGGGGTAGGCCAGCACCCGAATATGCTAGGCAATATGTTTATTGTATGGTATGTGGTATGATGGGGAAACTCACTAAGCTTCGTGCTTACGGTTTTCAGTTTTGGTTTCAGGTATTTTTTCTTTGAAAGGAAAGGAGCCGGCATGATCACATCGCACACACTATGATTTTCCGCACATGAGACCTTTGGGAGTTGTACTCTGATGTTGTTGTCTTATGACATGTTTTGGATATTGATTTTGATTGTGACATGCGATGACACTGTTGATGTTTTTAGACTACTGGCTTTTAAAATTACGCAATTAGAAATTAAATTTTTGGTAATGAATTTTGGGATGTTACATTGGCACCATGTCAACTGCCATATAAGCAAAACCGACACCTCACATAAGCAAAAGGACACGTTCGTAGATTGTAACTTGTTAACCTACTAAAAGTACAAAAGGGTTAACCATACTTTTGTTATATATATATATATATATATATATATATATATATATATATATATATATATATATATATATATATATATATATATATATATATATATATATATATAAAAGGTTGTGTCGTCTATATAAAAAAGGGCCAAATTAGATGTTGTTTTTCTTTAGAAAAATCAAGATAAATCTTCAAGGAGGGGCCGCACCCATTGAAGGCCTTCACTAAAAGTTTAATCCATATCACATTCACATAGAGCCCACGATAAACTCTATAGCCAAGAAGCCTTCTTCTTTGATTCTCCAACTGAGCTTTCATTGACAAAACCATCTAAAATGGCGTTTTATCTTGATATATTATTTGTTTGTAGTTGATATCAATGAATCATAGGGCAAAATAATGTAGAGCTATTAAAGAATCACAACGTATTATTAACCCAAAAGTTAATAGTACTAGCTACAATGGTACATTCAGTTAATTTTCGTGATACATATTAAGGTTTCAAAAATGGAAGAAGGAAATCGCACTGTCGTAGTAATGAAAAAAATGAACACAGTAGGTAAGGTATGTTTAGTTCATACTAGTAGTGGATGACAGATGCCAATATGCCATTATAGTAGTAGATATGATAGCAAATGTTGTCTTGTCTGGTCCCCTTAAGCCATCAAACTCATACACATTATGATTTTCTCTACTTATTTCTCATCTTCTATTAAGAGTTATTTAATACATGGACCCCTTTCTATTTCAATTGTATCACAACTTTTACCATGCATGTGGGCATTTTCAGTTTCAAAAAGTGCATGCACTGAGTTAACTCAAATCGACTCATGAGTCTCAAGTACCTTGCCATGCCTTCCAGACAAAACCAGTTCATGCATAAATGAGATTTAAGGAAAGGTCAAACTTCATTGTACTATCGAAGCTAGAAAGTCTGAGAGAGAATCATCAACACTAGTACACTGTCAGGAATCTATTTTTCTTAACACATTTAGTATCATCCGTTGCTTTCTTACCCTCTTTTTTGACCACCTATTTCTGTCCGAATTCCTACCACCTTATTTAAATTTACACCCACTCAATTAAACATAATCGTACAGTAATAACAGTAATTCTTCAATGTTCATATGGACCTTTCTTCATTCTTATATAAGATTCAAGTTCTAAGCTTTTGGGGTTGCAATTCTTTCGTTTTCCATGTGGGTATAGTGTCATATTCGGTATGTACATGTCCACTTAGTGCAATAAATTTTTTGAAAGAATGTGGTCGATAAGTTTGTTTGTATATATGTTCTGAATGTATAATGCATTTGCAGCGATGAACAAGAAGGCATTTATGAAGATGCGGGGGTTCATGTGCCAGTCACCGGAGGGAACAGCGTCGTGCATGATACCGGACTGCCGGCCGGTGATTGTGTCACGGAGGTCGGCTGATCGGACGTTGGTTGAACACGCGAGGTTGTTGAGTAATACCAAGTACATTCGACTTGCAGAGCGTCGTGGGTTTGTTGTTCCGACGAGGAGATCGGCGTCGGCCGCTGATACTGTTTTGTCAACGGCGGAGAAAGACCGCCATGAGCGGGTGAAGTTGGACCAAAATGCCCACCCGTTATCGACGGCCAACCAGGTCCTTTCAGGTAGGTTTTCATTTAAATTAGATTAATTTGTGAATAAATTAAAATAAAGTAAATTACAAATTTACACCTATGTTTTAAGTTTAGACACAAATTTACACAAAGTTTTAAGTTTAGTCTAAAATTGGGAATTGTCCCAATGGATTTTTTTTTTTTTTTTTTTTTTCATATATATAAACCTAAATACAAGCTTGGGATTGGGATGATATGAAACTTTTGACTATATTTTATAATTTTTTGGTAAAGTATAGGGACCGAATTTGTAATATACTCAAAAAGTAAGAGTAAACTAGTTTACAGCCTTGGTCCCTGTTTTGGAAAATTGATATGATCTAAGTTTCAAAATTTATCACCATTGGATCTTTTGGTTGTTATCGTTATTCACCCTTCAGTTTTAAAATATCATTTTACCTTCGTTTTTCTTTTTGTTATTTTTACATTTTAATATGGACCCTATATATTTCTCTTTATATCTCTATATATATAATTTGAATTTATAAATTATAGATAGGTTCACGTAATTTACATCTTCTGCAAGTTTAGTCCTACTTCTGAAAATTGATGCTCATAGTCTATATAACTGAAAAATCACCAACTTTGTCCCTTTTAGTTCTTGTCCATATCAATCCGTTAAGTACATGTATAATGGCAAAATTACACTATTTCTTTTGTACTTTTGTACTTTTCATTTTTCTTATTATTAAATTTTTATTTATTATTAAACAAATGGCCCACCTACCCCATCTTGAAAGTAACTGGACATCGGCTCCACCACTATCATCGAAGATAGACAAGAGAGGGCTAAAGGGGTAGGAATTGCAAGCAAGCAGTCGTGGATACAGACTGAAAGTCAATTGGGGTCCGCTAATGAGAGTGTTTTTCGGTAACTTTGAACTGTTACCGGTGGTTCAGTTTCCGCCGACTATGAGCAATTTACAAGCGATCGGAAGCGTATTCGACGAGTGGGTGATTGACTTCAGCTCGTTGTCTTGGTGAACTGTGCACAACGGCATATAGGCTAGGCTAAAAAGGAGGGAATTTGTTATTTGTTGGTGCAAAAGGTGTCAATTTTTTGTGAAGTGGGGACCAATTACTTATCTAATAACTATGAATGCAAAGAAATTATATATATATATATATATATATATATATATATATATATAATATATATATATATATATATATATATATATGCAATAGGTTTAGTCAGTCCAAGTGATGCCATACATCCCACTACCCAAATGATAGCTCCGTCACTGCAGGCTCGAAAGAGAGGGATAGGGGAAAGAGTTATTGGAGTTGCAAGCAATAGAGAAAGATGGGAAAGAAGGGGTAAGAGGGGGAGGTGTGGAAGGTGAATGAGGGTAGTGAGATTAATGGTAGAGGAAGTGGTTGGTGCCATATTTGGTGTAGACAAGAGAGATCAATGGTGGAGGTGGCCAATAACTGGCTAAGGGATTAAAACTGATGAATTTTGCACCCATGAGGACTATTAGCATTAATTTTATAAAACTAGAACTAAACCTGCAAGAAAGCGTAAACTACAGGGACCAAAATTGTAATATACTCCAAATATTGTGCACACTTTGTGGTTTAATTAACAGTTGTACTTAACTGAAAAGAATATTGTGTTTGTAGGTGGTAGTGATGAGGGTTTCCATTCACTGTCATGGGTGTGCTGGTAAAATCAAAAAACATTTATCAAATATGGAAGGTACAATTATTTTTCTACCCTTATCGTCAAAATGACAATGAATACTCTTTCTAGAGTATAAAATTATTTGGATTAATCCTCAACGCATGAATATATGTTAGAAAGGGTATATATCTACAACTGCGTAAAATTACCAAAATGCCTTTATTTAAACTAAGTAGTAATGACTATTGTTAAAACTGATTTATAGTACAAAAAATTATTTAATATTATAATTTAGACATTATTTAATTTAAAAACTATATATAAATATACATTATTACTTATTCACCCATTTTATCCCTAAAAAATAAAATATAAAAAGGAAAAAACTTCTAATTATATGCACATATTCAAGTTTAATTTACGAATAATTAAACACTTCGAAAATGAATACAGGTGTGACGTCGTTTAGCATAGATCTGGAGAGCAAGAGGGTAACGGTGATGGGACACGTGTCGCCAGTGGCTGTATTGGAAAGCATATCAAAGGTGAAGAAAGCTGAGTTTTGGCCTTGCTGATACCCAAAAGTTAAATGCATTGTATTTTGTATTTCATGTTTTTTTTTTATTTGGTTAGATATTTATTTATGTAATGGAATTATATGGTTATACTTTTATAAGTTAGCGTAATGAAATAGAGTTTTTATGATTTATATAGTGATATTTTAATTATTATTAACTTTTAGTTATATAAACACAAAAGCTTTAAAGTTTGTCAAAAAAAAATAATTATCTTCAAAACACTTTTTGTTTTTTTTTTTTTTTTACTATAATGATCATAAGTTTTAGTTTATCATAAATCAAATTCACATGTAAAAAAATATATGTAAAAATACATTTACACTTCTAAAAACATTACAAATTTTTTTTTAAAGAATATTAGTTTTTCACCATTTATAAAACATAAAAGTTTTACGTTTTAAGCCGTACGAATAGGTAGTAAAACACATATAAAATAGTTTTTTTTTTTTTTATAAAACTCTTAGTTAATTAAATATTTGTTAATGTTTAAATACATAAAAGTATGTATTTCTTTAAGAGTTCATATAATATAAAAAAAATAAACATATTTAAGTTAAAAACGTAAAAACGATTCCGAATTTTAAGGTTGTCTTCCGAATTTTATTCCATGCTAACTTGAAAAAAACCTGTGATACCAGGTCACAAGGTCAATAATAAGAAAAAAATTTAGAAAACTTCTTATTGTATCATTACTAGAAGTGTTTTTAGGATAAAGTTATAAAAAAATTAAATATGCAATAACATTTTCATTGGCATGAGAGAGCAAGAAAGAGAGTGGAGAGAAATTTGGCAGCAGGGTTCATCACCCAAAATTGATCCATCGATGGTAGATTATCAGGGCGATATGTCAGTAACATTTTTCTATGTTAGCAATCTTCCTGGTGATGTTAGGTTCTTCCTGGTCATGCTAGGAAATCGAAATTATGGGGTCCTTGATGTAAGCTGAGCAACCCGGTAAACATATTCTGTTTGATTAAGGTATCTAAACCAGTAATTGAATTAGTATATTCTTGAATTAAAAACAAAGTCATTTTTGGCTGCCTTAGAAACTAGTATTTAGATAGAATGGCTTTCGGAGGAAGATGCTAAATTGCTAATTTATTATATGATTAATAAATTTGAATAAATAGTTTATTAATATATTATACGATTAATATATTAATAAGAAATAATAATAATTAATTTGGAATTACTCAAAAATTAATTGGATTTAATTTTGGAATTAATTTGATTGATTTAAACTACATGGACTATTTGGTTATTTATTGAAAGTTGAAGCAGAAAAACTCTAGAATCCCATAGGATGGGGGTGAACAAAATTTGGCTAGCAATATCCTACAATTTTCATTCATGAGGCTTAGGATAAGGAAATAAGGCAGTTTGATTATTATATTAATTAATCTGGACCTTATCCCAAAAACCTTAGTTTTGGCCTCAACTTTCCTCCAGCTATATAAACTCCTCCTTGACTCTTATTATTTTCGTCCATTCCTTCTTTCCTTCATAAAGCCGTTTTTATCAAGCCTCCTCTCTCCTCAAGTTTTCTTGCTACTAGGGTTTTGGGTACAAGTCATTAGAGAAATCTATTCCTTTAGTGCTAGCTTTCCAAGATTTTGAAGAATGATTCTACTATGATTATTTGCAATAATACTCAGAAGGTATGTAACCCTACTTTGATATGAATTTTGATTTCATAGCCTCTCTCCTAGGGTTTCTTGATATTCATAGTTAGTTGTTATCAATAGAGAAAACATAGATTCTTTCTAGGTTGCATGTGAACTTAAGGTTTTAAGTATTTTTCTATCACATGTCAAATTTTATAACATATAAAATCTATCAATGGTATCAGAGACATAGGTTTTATATTTGATTGTTCACTAAATGAACTGATCAAATTAAGGCTTATAGAAATTAAACCCTAAAGGCTTAAGTTTCAACTTGGCTATGGTTTTCTGAAACCCTAGACACCACCCCCCTTATTTTCAAAATTTATAGATTATCCCTAAGGTTTCTAGTTAACTTAATTAATATTTTAATATGATTTAAAATTTGAATAATTAAAAACCTAATAAACCCTACCTTTTTTGAGAATTAGAAGGATAAGAGATTATGATTAAATTTGAATTAATTAATTATTTAATTCTTAAATAATTATTTAATCGATGTGTTTAAATTATTTAATTAGTTCTTTAATTGGTAAATAATATGATTTAAATTTATTTAACTAATTGTTTAATTAAGATAAAAGATTAAATCATTATTTTGTTAAAATCATTTATTATTATTTGTTTAATTTAAAATATTAATTTTAAACCCTAGTATTTTGAAATGGTTTTAAAATACACCTTATACGATATATAAAATGACCGTTGAATGGGTGTTCACTCTCACCTACCGCTTCCTTGTATGGTAGAGGGTCTTTAGTCGAACAGATTTCATAGGACATAACCTCTTAACAGTATAATGCTATTGAAGTACTAGAATCTTTTATATAAATCCCAAATCTAGTTACTTTAGGAAAAACATGAAATTGTATGTTAAACCATGAAAACACATATCACTCTTTATATGTTGTTAGTGGAGTGTGTGCGGCTAACTGACACGGTAATTTGGGAATATAAACTTGAGGTGATTGACAAATCGAAAATTATCATTATTGATGATCGTGTATGGTCAATCGGTACATCAATTCGAGTTGATAAATGACATCGAGGTTGTCAAGTAGGTTTGCATGGTTATTTACATCTTAATTGTGATCCTCGGCATCAAGGGTCACAATTGGTAAGAGCATAATCGGGATCAAACATGCCATTAATAAGATTCAATGAATCTCAGAAGATCTAGGAATTTTATGTGACTGAGATTAGTGATATGTTCTACGTACCTAAAAATTGATTTGAATTTGATTATGGCATCCCTCTTCAAAGTTCAAATCGAAAATATGGATCCTAACCTTAATTTAATTATGCGTTAATAATTAAGGATTAAAATCAATTAACTTGAATTCTCTTTTCTCCCAATTTTAGATGCTAGATCAAGATAATAATGGTCTTCCTTGTTCTTATGGAAATGGTTTTTCTCAATCTTCTGAAGATGCTCTTCTACTTTCAAGCCAAGTTGAAAATGTCTTCCCTTCCTTAGGAAATGGTGGAACTAAACACCATCTCACTTCATCTATTCCACCTCCTCCAACATCACGAGTTGAAAGATATGAAACAACTCAAGCCCCTTTTGCATGTAAACATGAATATGGAAATTCTGTGTGTGTGCACGTTCTGAAAATGAAGTCATACATTAACAAATTAGATAGATGGGTGTCGTATTTCCAAGGGAGCAATCCATTGATTTGGTTCTTATCTCGCTTCCTAAGTCATATGGTTATTTTATTGATAACTTTCCTATGAAGAATCTAGAGGTGACGCTAATAAATTTGAACCAAGTGTTGATGGTTGTCGAGGCAGAAATGCTTATAGGGTGTGATTCCCAGTTTTCCATGGACATTGGAAATGGTGAAATTAGTGATTCAAAAAAGATTTCTCTTCCCAATGAAAAGGGGTTGTCTAAGGTTAAGCTGTTTTATTGTATGGCTAAGAGAAAGGCTTGTTATGGGATCGTTCCACGTTTTAAACACAAAGAGTCCATTTGTTTCTACTGTCAATTGAAGGGACACTGGTTGCGAAGCTGCCCACAGTACCTGAAAGATCTCACAGATGGTAAAGTTAATATGTATGACTCTACTTCAGGTACATCGGTTATGTAACTCCATTGTTTTATAAGTTCCTATACTTAGACTCTTAATACATAATGTGATGATCACATTTTGATGGTATTGTAGGATCTAAAAGAAAGAATGAAGCTTAAGTAAAGTGAGCTAAATTTGATCGTGGGAAATGGACTTCGATAACATGGTTCGATGGTCAGAATTTGGACCTACTACTAGGGAGTTAGGAGAATTTAATAGATTTCTATTACTCTTCGGAGATGTTTAGAAATATAGTTTTCATTTTATGAATTGTAAGGACATGCTCTAATTTTCATTTTAGTAATAAAATAAAGCTTTGGTTTATGAAGTTTCCTTATTTCCTTACGATATAATTTTTGAAAGTTTTGGTTATGATTATAATAATAGTAGTGTTAATAGTGGATATTTATTCTTTTAGAAAGTGCTTGTGATATTGTCATTTTTTGACTAAGTGAAAAGGAATCTCATCGCCAAGTTTCAATTAGATGGAAGCTTAGAGTCTTTAGATCCACCAAAAGGGAAGATCACTGTATTCGTCATGATTTACTTATGCTTCAGTAAATACGCTTTTGTTTATAAGATTAAGCAGAAATCTAATACTTTTGAAAAGTTCAAAGAGTAGTAGAATGAATAGAAGAATCTACCAGGCAGAAACATAAAATATTCTCCAATATGAAAAGAAATGAGAATGCTTTAGTATCATGTTTTATGACCATCTTATTAAATATGGAATTGTATCATAATTAATCCTTCAAGAACATCTTAGTGCAATTGTATGACTAAGAAGAGGAATTGTACATTTTCATAAATGGTTCGATCATAAGATGAGTCATACTTTGTTCCCAATCAAAGTTTTAGAGCCATGCTCTAGTAACTATGATTCATATCTTGAAACTCATTTTAGAAGGATAACAAAACCTTGTAAAATTTGGAGTAGTAATGTTTTCTTACTCTAACACATTTGGAATTGGAGTAGTGATGTTTTCATTGATCAATAAACAAAAGATAAATTGAGGCCTATTCTATGAAGTGTTTTCTTGTTGGAAATCTGCATGATCTTTTAAATATTTGTTTTAGCTCATCTAGGAATGCTCTAGAGAGAAAAATTCATATGGCAAGAAGTCAGTGGGAATCGTATTGATCTTGAGATTTTCAAGAGTCAACCCACAATGATCCTTATAGTTATCACTAGCACGTGACCTGAGGTTGATAACCTATTATGTTTATTGATACATTCTAATTTTTGTACATTTCTAGTGGCAACGCCTATGAGTTCTATGTTTTTCATTTAACTACAGAAGGGGAAGCACTTTGGTCAATGAAAGTAAACTGATCAATATGGGTAAGTTATTAACATGGAAGCACTTATGGACCTTTGAGCTGCCATAAGGCA